TTAGCTGATTACTCCATTGCTGTTATTAATAAATTTCACTATTTAATAATATTAACAGCAGTCTGTTCTCATTATACCCTATTATAGTTTAATCTTCTTTGACAAACTAAGGAGTTTGTAATTGACAATAACGACTTTTTTTTTTGGGTTTAACTAAAAACAGCATTTTATAGTTGTTTTAAATGCACATTATCAAGTTAATATAGTTTTATTTAATATCTACTATAGGGCCAACGATCCTTAAAAGGGTCCGGACCGGCCCGATCCCTGGATGGACCGAAGGATCGTTGGCCCGGACCGGATCGATTAACAGCCCTAGTAACACCATAGCTCGTAAGTACAATAATCGAATTTTTTTACAGTAAAATATTACGTTCATTCCAATACAAAACTAACATAACACCATAGCTTGTAAGTACAATAATCGAAATTTTTACAGTAAAACACTACGCATAAAAATCACATTCATTCCAATACAAAACTAACATATCAATATCTAAGTCACTTGTAACACTACAATAGTCGGTAAGAATTTTTTACAGTAAAACACACGTATAGAAATCACGTTCATTCCAATACAAAACTAACATATCCATATCTAAATCACTTGTAACACCATAGCAAGTAAGTACAGTCTTCCCTCCTTACAATCACTCTCTTTATAGCCACGACCTCTTAATAAGCACACTAATTTTTTAAAACAAATTTATATAAAACATAAGAAATTTGACCTCTATACAGACACAATTGCTTACAAGCACAGAATTTCTTGGAATTGAGGGCGTGACTATAGAGAGGTTTGACTGTGCAGTAACCAAATTTTTTACAGTAAAACATTACATGTAAAATCACGTTCATTCCAATACAAAACTAACATATTCGTATCTAAATCACTATAGCGAGTAAGTACAATAACCGAATTTTTTACATAAAACACTACGTGTACAAAACTAAACATATCCATATTTAAATCCCCATACAGTAAAACACTACGCATAGAATCACGTTCATTCCAATACAAAACTAACATATCCGTATCTAAATCACTTGTAACGCCATAGTAAGTACAATAACCGAGATTTTTATAGTAAAACATTACGTATAGAAATCACGTTTATTCCAATACAAAACTAATATATCCATATCTAAATCACTTGTAACATCATAGCGAGTAAGTACAATAAAACACTACGTATAGAAATCACGTCCATACCAATACAAAACTAACATATCCATATCTAAATCACTTGTAACACCATAACGAGTAAGTATAATAACCGAATTTTTTTCAGCAAAACACTACGTTCACTCCAATACAAACCTAACATATCCATATCTAAATCACCGTGATAGTCGGTAAGTACAGTAGAATTTTTTACGGTAATTACTATAGAAACTACGTTCATTCCAATAAAAACCATCTTATCTATCTAAATCACTATAGCGAGTAAGTTCAATAACAAATTTTTTTGCATAAGTCAAAATTATGGTAATTCTAATGCATTAATAAATTATACGTTAACCCATGATACGTAGACGGTATATATTAGTTATTTTTTTAAATCATTGCTCTTAATTATTATTATATTTATTATTATTTTTTAATATAGATTTAAAAATGAATTTCATAATTGGACAAGTGACAATCACGACATTGATCAATTAATTCAACAAACACAACTCAATGCAGTGACGTTTAAGGACATTATTGTATGGATACCATTTAGTAAATTTGCAAATATAAAGTATCTTGCTAAAGGAGATTTTATCACTGTTTTTAAGGCAGTATGGATTGACGGATTTATTAAAGGATTCGATTATAAATGGACAAATAGATATCTGTTTAAAAAGCCTTGATAATTCTAAAGATATAAAACGAGAATTTTTAGAAGAAGCAAGTATTATAATTTATTAAGTATAGTAATATACCTATTCTAATTAATATTTTATTAGGTTAAAAACCAACATAAACATGGAGGCAATTCGAAAATTGCAATTTATGGAATAAGTAAAACCCCAAAAGATGGTAATTACATGATGGTCATGGAGTTTGCAAAGCAAGGAAGTCTCCGAAAATTATTAGATAGTAAATATAATGAACTAGATTGGGCTTCTAAAGTATCTAACTTATATTACATAGCTGATGGGCTTAATACAATTCATGAAGCCAAATTAGTGCATAAAGATTTTCATTCCGGAAATATAGTTAAACAAAATATGTTTAGTTCTTACATTACTGATTTTGGCTTATGTAAGCCAGTATCACAAGACTCAGATTCTAAAGCACTTTTTGGTGTTCTTCCTTATATTGCTCCAGAGGTGTTATATACAATGGAAAGGAATACACTCAAAAATCAGATATTTATTCTTTCAGAGTAATTATGTCGGAAGTTTTTACTGGATATCCACCATATTATGATATTCCACATGATTTCGCCCTTGCACTCGAGATTTGTAAAGGCCTCAGACCTAAAATTAAATGCGAAGTTCCTCAACTACTTTTGAATCTGATGAATAAATGCTTAGTTGCAAAACCTCAAAACCGACCAACTGCTAAAGAATAGCTAAAACGCTAAACCATTTTTTTTATGATTTGAGAAATGAAAAAGCTGAATTATGTAAACAAATTAAAGAAATAAAAAACTTAGACAAAAATTCCTCAGCGTATGATCGAGTTAAATCGGCACGACTCAGCTATCAAACAGATCCACAAGCTATCCATACAAGTCGACTTTTGCATTTTCAAGAACTTCCTAAACCAGGTAATAACATTTATTTATATTTTTTTAAAATCAATAATTATTAATTGTAAAATTTTTTAAATCTGCCAATATAGTAGATGCAGGTAATGATATTTATTTTCTTAAATTGTCTTTAAATTGTAATTTAGTATATTTATATGTATGTATTTTAGAGAGTCAACCTATTGATAATGTTGAAGTTCCCAATGGTAAGTAATATTTGATTTACTTATAGTTAAATAAATTTATTACTTATTTGTATATTGATATTTAGATTATTAAATCAAGTAAAAGAAAGTTAGTATTGCCATGTTATAATAATTCGGTAATTGATTATATTATATATCTTTATGTATGTGCGTATCCTAAAGTGTTTCATTGATAAAGTTGGCCAGATTTAGGTTAAGGTTGGACTGATTTATAGTTTTGTAGATTAGTGAATTAAAAAGTATTATAAAACTTATGCAGTAAAAAAATTTTGATCAATTGAACCATTCGTGCAACATTAACAGTCCGCTTCGAGGATTGGTTCTTTGTGAATTACAAGAATTTTCTATATTACGGTTACTATTTTTTTTTTAAATTATATTATCCAGATCTGAACTTTATTGTATGTGTCTCATATAAGGTTATATTAACTGTCGCGGATGATGGTGAAATTGGACGATCGTGAAATCCTAAAAATTTTTAAAAATCGTGGTTTGATTTCACGATCATACATTAACCAACGAATTTATTAAAATTGATCATGTATTTTTTATAAAAAAAAGATGACTAAAAAATTTATATGAATTTTGGATATGTAATTATTACAAAAATGGAGAAGTAGAAAAAATGAAAATAAAGCATTTTTTTTTGAAATCTGCAAACTTAGGTAATTCTGAAGGTTAAATTTAATATTGGTTATCATTATGTAAAAAGAATCAGATGAACATAATATTTTGTACAACTTTAAATGTTATTAATTTAAAAAACCGAATTAAAGGCATTAAAGATTTATTTGACTAAGAATTAAAAAATATATTTGGTGTTAATTAATAATATACAGTAGACAAAAGATGTCTGGGCTAATTTTATTTGTACTCAAAATTTAAAGGGTATTAACCGATCGATTGGGCCAGATTGTTATTTGACAGATATATCATATATTGATATACATAATTGTTAACTTGCTCAGTGAAAAAAGTAATCGGTCAGACGCAAGTTCTAATATATGGTTTTTTAAAACTTAAGGCACTTCCTAGCGATTGACTGTTTAACATCTAACAAATAATTATAATTTAAAGAGATCTTTGATCAGATTTTATCAGTTTTAATGACCAAAAAAGGCCAAATGATACCAATACGTTTCTAGTAAATGGATGCTGAAAAATAAAGTGCTTAGTTTCGCTAATAATTATTTGCACTGTATTAAATTTACTTAGTTGATCATTAATTAATGTTAATCATGTTTGGAAATTAGCAATCCTATGACTGTCTATGTACTAAAAACATTGTGGCACTGACAAAAGTTCAGCATAATAAAAAAAATTGCAGGCACTTGGGCACTAGTATTCCTCCCGGCATAGTGCCAACAGTGCCTGGCACAATGCCAATTGTACCCGGCAAGTTTACTTGCAGAACCCTAATAATAGTGACAACGTCTCTACAAAATTATATAAGATCAGACTGTATTCATCCATTGGACAATGTTGCGCAGCTACTTATTTATAACCGGTACAATAACATTATTTGTAAGTTGTATCATAGAGATGAGCTTTGTCTAGCAATTTTACACTACCGACTTTAAAATCTTTTTTTACTTGCAATCTTATAAGCTCTCTTCTTCAATCTTTACTTGCTATATTCTGATATTCTGCTCTGCATAAATAAATATATAAATAAAAAATTTTATTACACTCACGTGTTAGCAAGAATGAAACTTTTTATCAGCTTTTTCACTAGGGACTATGATATCTGTTTTATGTCCCTTCGTTTTGAGACTTGATAAAATCCTAAATTTCCCTAGTTCAATAATAGTAATAATCTTTTCTGCTTACTGAAGCAGACCGGTTATTAAATAACAAGACAAGGTAACGATTTTTGTGAAAGGTTAGATAAGAGATAGAGTAAATGTATTTATAGTTTCCCACGTGTCTCGTTTAATCTGGTTTTTTTTTACAATCGTTGACTTAAATTAACTTACATTGTTATACTTTATAACTTTAGAGATTTAAGATATACTTTAGTAGTGTTGATTAACAAAAACTTTTGATAGAATTATTCTGGCTGAAATACATGATTAAAGGCAGCAAAATCTTCGATATTTATCATCCCTAATGTATTTATTATATTTGATATCTCTGCTATCTCATTCTATGTAAAATAAGAACTCTGAATAAAGGATAACTCAGTTAAAGTTTAAATGTTAGAATCCCGTGACGTATTATAGAGCGTAAAATGACAATTTGATGAGTTGTCATGATATGGTTTTGAATTAATAAGCTTGATATCAGTATTAACACATTTTTTAACATTACTTTATAAACAAGATTGATCAAGAACCTTTAAAAATCTTACGTAATTGAATAGTGTTTTGGAAAATTTTTCATCATTACATATTCTGTTAGAACGAGTTTTCATTCTCGCCAACAGATGAAAAAATATTTAGAATAAATAATGAATTTCGTTGTTTTGATGAAAATGGAACTTGCCAAAAAAATAAGAATTTATATTTTACACGTACAAGTACGCATGAGTATAAGGAATTAAGAATATCTTCTATTAATTCGGGCTTATCTCCCATAAATATTTTTGATGCCATGAATTACTTTTGTTTAAAGAGAAAGGATTTTGTCCGTTATTGTTACACATATGTACGTACTGTATTTATAATTTTTGGCAGAATTATGTGTAATTTTGAACAGAATACGTATTTCAGAATCTTTCTGCATTGGTATGCTTCCAATATTTACTATCAGCTTTGAGATTCAGTCAGTTTTAATAAATATTTTCATTATTTTGCTACTCTGAAAGACATTCTTCTGGTTCTCTCTCCTCATTAAATTTACATATCACTGCGGAATGTTATAGCAATAGTCAGTTGTAAATCGATAATAATTATACGCTGGATAATTAGGTATAAGCGAAACTTTGCTGGAAAAGAATGGCTGCATAAACAATCAATGCATTAGTTATTGGGGTATGCGATATCATAGGATTTACAAACCTATTGAAGATCATTATTAAAAATCGGTATGAAATTTTTTTACATAACCTATAATTTTTCCGAAATGCACATAGTAAAATATGCATTTTTCAATCGCTATTTCTCTTTTATTTTTGAAAATAGAGATTTAGAATTTGCTTAATTTTAATAAAAATATGCTCTAGTTTAATAATATAGAGAGTTTTTTAGCTTATACAAAAGCTGATTGTGTAAAAATCTTCGATAAAAAAATCTTTTTATCATAGATACTATCGTTCTATTAAAAATTTTTAATAAGATATAAAATAAAATATTCGTTCTATATTATCATTCTATATAATATTTTCAATAAGATTAGATAAATTTTTTTAATAAATAATTAGTTCTTTTTAAAGTTATAGTGCTTGAAAGTTTTATATTCATATACAAGGCTAAAATGACATAGATACGGCAGCCATTTACTGCGCCGCTGCCTATTGTCTAAAGTATACATCAAATTTACGAGTAATAAAATTTATTATGTGTCATTTTAGCCCTGTTCGTATATATATTGCAAATAACTATTTTTATAAAATAGCTTTCGTTTCGATAAAATATAATAACTAAATGCAAGAATATCTACAAAGGTAAAATTAGTCTTAGTTTTTATACCTTAAAATGATAAAATTATATATATAGCAATAAATTAAAGTGATGTATCAAAGCGACATTTTATTAAATAGTGTAATTGTTATTAATAAATGATACTATTTATTTATTTTTTATTTAATTATTAACAAAAGCGATTTTGATCAAAGTAATATACTGTATTAAAATGATGTATCAAAATGATATATCAAAACGATATATCAAAGCGATATATCAAAGTGTTTTACTAAATAATGCGATTTTTTATTAACAAAGATGAAGATTTAGTATAAAAAAAGCTTTTTTTTTCTTACAGCCTTTTTTTCAATTCGAAAATTGAAAAAAGCAAAATGGGTCAATTATCTAAAACTCGTAAACATTGTAAAAAAGCACGTCTCATCAAAATATCTAAATAAATCTAATAAACTATCATCTTCAATTAATCAATCTAATCAATACCAAATTCCTATATGTAATTTTTATATTTATCGACATAAAAATTTTCAATCGGTCACTATTGAAAATAATTCAATCGACCTAATTGAAAACAATTCAACCAACCTAATTGAAAATAATTCAATCGACCTAATTGAAAACAATTCAACTGACCTAATTGAAAACAATTCAACTGACCTAATTGAAAACAATTTAACCAACCTAATTGAAATTTAAAATATAGTTAATCAACAAATATCAACTTCTCTATTAAATATCTCTAAACCAGAAAAAATAAAAAAGGATATAATAGCAAAAATCAATTATCTGTCAGAAAAAGAACTATTAGATAGTCTTCAATTATTTAGTAATATGAGATATAAAGACAGGCCAAATAAAGGAAAAATTTTGTCCTCTTATTTGCAAGAAAAAGCTATGGGTTTGTTATTTACAAGTCATGGAATATCGAGTTCTGATGTACAAGAAAAACTTAAATTATTAAAGTTGAAAATTCAAAATTAAAAAAAAAATACTTAGATTAACCTGTAGAACAAAATCATTGACAATTAAACTTAGTCATTTTAAAAGATCTAAAAGTAAATATGTTTCCAAAGTTAGATCATCTGTTAGAAAAAAAAGAAAAATATTAGATAAAAATATCGAAAAAGCTATAGTTAAAAAAATTAAACAAAATAATCACAAATATACACCCAAATTTGTTTATATAACTATGAATTTAAGTATTTTTGGTCATACTTTGATATCGTCAACAATACAATGCACAAAAGAAATTATAACATTTCTTACTGGTTAGCCTTCTAAATCATGCTTATCTTCAAGTACTTTATCATGATAGACAAAAGAAGTAGCAGAAATTTCTATACAAGATAATATACCTCAATTTTCAAATCGATTTAGCTTATATAGAATTTTAGCAGACAAAAGTACAAGAGGAGAAAAAAAATATTTTTAGTATGTATAGCTTACTGGAACGAGAATAAACAAGAACCTATACTTACTATCCTTAATATGAAAGACTTGGATCGTTGTTTAGCATCTATGGTATCTTTAAATGTTGGAGAAGCTATTAGTAAAAATTTATTAAATCTAGCACAATGTCAATATTGGCTTACCAATAATACAGCTTATATGTTAAGATCAACAGGTGGTGCTGTTGTTAAATTTAATTAGCAATATTCAGCAAAAGCAACTCAAATTTTTTGTGGTCTGCATGCATTATATATAGCTTCAACACATTTTAATGATACAACATTTGGAAAAATTAAATCACTTTCAGGAATTTCTTTAGAGCCACATCTGTCAAATGTTCTTAATCCGGCTTATTATCTTCATTGCAGATATAATAAATCTGATAAGTACAATCCATTAAATATATAAATTATTACTTAATTATAATCTTAAAAGATATCAAAAACTATCTCAACCCATTAGTTATATTAATTAACTAAAGCAAACCAATATTTAGATTGGAGAGAGATACATTTACAATTTTCTAGTTGGTTTATTAACCAACTAGAACTAGAAAAAGCAAACAAAATTCCTGAAAACTATTTAAAAAAATGGAAAACATTTTATAGTTTCTTACAAAACAATAAATTAAATATAGAAATTCAATAATAGTTAGTTTTGGTGAATGGTTTTATGAAAAAGTTATGTTCTTTTTAATTGGTAAAGATACAAATACTACGAATCTCCCAAGTGGATTTAGAGCGAGTAAAATGCCAAATAAAGTCAAACAATGGATTAATAAATTGCAAATAGCAGCTGAGCATCCTGATGAAGTCTTTGCAAAAGAGATGTTATTAGCTTATGAAATTTTATCTACAAATAAGTTTAATAATTTAATAAATAGAATTGGACAAGGATTAGTAAAAGCATTAGATGCATTTAAACAATAGATGGACCCATAGACACATTTACCTCTTTCTATATGCTGGCTTGGAGGGATTCATGGTCCCAATTTTGCAATTGCAATTATTAAGGTTGTATTAAATATGCATATTTCAGAAAATTTTACAGAAATGCAAAAAAAATATATAGATAAATTAGTAAGTGATATAAAAAACAAGAAACAAGAATCTTTTGGATTATTTGAAGCACTGAAAAATAATGATTTTAAAGAACAATTTTTGACCTTTTCACAATCTACCTATACCAAATTACCCAATTATCCATTAATACATAATTTCATTAAGCACAAAATTTGGCCTATAATCGTTTATTAGCAACACCTTGAGGGTATGTTCAACAAATATGATCTCAAAACACATCCAAATATGTCTATTGACCTACAAGAATCAAGCCTCTCAAAACTTCACTTACTCAAGAAAAACTATCAGAAATTTGATTAAAAAACAGACAAAAAAGAACTATTGTTGAAAATTAATCAATTAATAAAGAATCTGCAACTGAAATACTTCAAAGGTTTCTAAAACCTTCAAAATAAAAAAAAATGAACTTACATATATTTCATATAATTAGATTCTTCATTTGCATTTGCAATTTGTCTTTAATAGTTTATATTCATATCTTCATATAATAGTAAATCTGAATAATCAATCATACATAAATAATTCCAAAACACTATTTTAAAATATATAACTTACACAATATTTCAAACTTTTTCAATAATATAAACTTCAGAATCTTCATAATACGTACAATTCTAGCAGATCTAATAATAATAAAAACTTTTTAATTTCAAATCTTGAAAATATTTCCAGAACTATTTGTAACTAATATATAATAATCAGGTAAACTTTTTCCTGTTGTATTGATTATGATTGAAGTCTCTAAGTTTTGGTTTTTCACAAGGTATGGTATTTTTCAAATATCTAGAACCAGTGAAAAAAAAAGGTGGTTATTTTTTTTGTACAACGTTGGGAATTTGTGAAACAGCCACAAAAAAATCCGATCATATAAATTTGTCATTTACATAGTGCATTGGATACCTCAATTAGTTATACTTCCTAATAAATTTTCGTTTATACCTAATTAACCAGGATAACTGTTTATAACTGTTTATCCCTGCTATCCACGTAACATTCATGTACTTATTTTAAAATGAAACCTTTTTTACGCATTGTTTTTAAATATTAAGTAAGGATAATACAATACTTATGCTCAATCACCTAAATTAAATAGATATATGTATAGTATAAATAAGTATGTGAAAAAAAGGTACGTACGTGGATGGGTTAACCAGGAGATAAGAGAAAGTAACGGCACCAACGTTACTAATTATTGACAATTGATAATGTTGTTTAATCTGGTAATCAAAATTAATTTTTTTCGATCTCTTTACTATTACTTGTTCTATTTCGGCAAATCAATACAGATCCAATCAAATTGCCTGATTTTGAAATCAAACAATTTGATTGGATTTGTACTACACAGTAACTCTTGATGTAACGTATTATATTTGGGAGTCCGTTGTATCAAGAGTCATTGTGTATACATTCGTATTTTAGTAGAAGTAGACCGGTATGGACTGTAACGAGGACCGATTGATTTTCGGTCCTCGGTCCCTAACATCCCGGTCCTGGTCCAAAAAGTGATAAGTTAATAAAAAGAAAATAAAAATAATGAACCTCTTTTTTTTTTATTCTTTCCAAAAATGAATAATAATAAAGTTTTTTTTTTTTTTTACCTTTATATTTAATATTTCTCAAAATATTAAGACGTACAGAAATATTAGTATAAATAGTCTCTAATAATGCGGTTCTAATTCCTAAAATAAACATCGACGTCTCAACTTTTAATAAAAATCAAAAAAAAAGAAATACAATCAGTTCAGAGCAAACATTCAGCATAGCCGGTCTTGCTATTTAACCGAATTGTCAAGAGCAACTCTGTGCCTAAAAAGTTGCTTCAATAAGAAAATTTGCAATATGGATAATTGGAAAACTACCGTAATTACAGCATAGTTAAAAATCCACCTGATTGGCTGTCGATCCTTGAAATCTTATTGGCTGCCTATAGTAAACGTTCTATATG